GTTTCACACGTTATGACAGTTCTGGTGTGCATCTCATTTATGACACCTGACCAGCACAACCACGCCATGAAAAATGGAAGGAGAGGGTCCTTCAGGGCTGCTTGGAGATTCAGATTGTTCCATCAGTAAAAGAGTGAGAAATCCAAATCTGTGGCATGCTGCTGTGGAAATGTGCTTGTACATCAAATTCCATTACTCACGTGTGGCAGGACACCTCCTAGAGCTCTGTTAAAACAGTTCCCTTCTCATGCTAAAATCATTGACCTTGAAGACTCCTGCCTTCAGAAGCACCTAATAAACATTTGTTAATATGCTTTTACTGCTCTGTTCACTGCACTTTCACTCAGCGCTGCATCCAGATAAGACAATAATTAATATTATTTCAAAAAGAAGCAAACACACCCTTGCCTAAAGAGATTCCTATTTGCTTTTCACCAAGTAGGCTGCCAATGCTTTGAGATGGCTCTGACCAGTTGCCTGTAGGCCACTACAACATTACATTATGGATTTATGGCTCAGTCCAGAAAAGGAGGTTTGACTGTAGTTCATTACAACATGTGAAAGCCACTGAAATTTGCTTGGATCCCTTAGTAACAAGAACTAGTCATGTCACACAAGGGTGGAAAATAAGCTGTTGTGTCTCTTGCTGAGACATATTTCTCCTTTAACTGTTTCAGAGTTACATCTTCCTGAGATTCCCAATGAGTAAGAAGGATTGAAAGAAATAATAATTTTAGAACAAACTCAACTCAAGTTTCTCTTGTATATGGAACAGGAGAATTTTTCTTCCTTTGATTTCTTTTAAAACACCATGTTTACATGCTACAAAATGGGTATAAAAACAGAAGCCAAGACAAGATTTTAAAGATTAAGTACAAAAAATAGATCTATTATCCACAAATTCTTGTAGTAGCACAGATATTTCAGAGAGATTCAGAGCCACAGCATAATATCCAATAACCATGATTCATAGAAAGAAGCTCAAAACGTCTCAAATTACTGAAAGCTATAGAAATATCTAAGGGTGATGAAGGAAAAAAAAGTAAATACACGCAACATAGTTTTTCCCTGAAATCCTGGACAGTATTCAATGGCTGGATCTCTCTCTCTCTCTTATATTGTCTTGAGACAAGGTGAAACCTACATTATATAAACACAACTTTTTTTTTTTTTTTCCCCTGGGAAATATCTGGCAGTTGAGAAGAACTTAGTGAAAGCAACTCAACTGCAGAGCACAATGGTCCTCTACAGCAAGGTGTGCTCTTCCCCTTGACCATGTTTTACATTTCCATGCCAATTTTATCACTGAAGATGAATGAAGCATTTTAAACTACTTCTCATTCAAAATATTCCTGTCTGAGCAAATATATCTAAGAGTCAACAAAATTATGCCACATTCTGCAGACAAAATAAGGAAGCTCTAGAATTCATTTTGGTACTGTGGAAATCTGAGCATGGGGAACAGAATTAAGACCCTCAAAACCAGGAAGAATTTTGTGTTTAATCAGGATTAATGTGGTGAGCTCCCTTTTTCACTGAAAACAGCAATTTTCATACATTCTTAGATCTTTGTCATATTCTGAGGCTATATGGTCAGACTAAGTGGCCTGAAATTAGAAAACTGAGTTGCAGAACTAAAAAAAATGTGTGGTATTGGAAATTTATAAGGCTGTAAACTTATATTATAAACTTATAAGGCTGTAAATTTGTCTCTTTCTCACGAGGAAAGCAGATTATAACATAAATTCAGGAAAAAAAACCCCAAGAAATATTCTTTAAAACAGTGTTTTGAATTTAAAAAACAGATGAGTGCACTTTGCAGTGTTATAAGCCATTATTAAAAACTTCCCCTTCTTGGTACAAACAATGGAGACCTTTGAGATTCAAACAGCTGATGGTTTCTCTTCATGTCTTGAGAGATTTCTGTCCTGTTTTTGCCATAAAATTCAGGCAATTTAAAAGCAAATGCTCTGATTAACTCCCAGGTGCACCAAATCAGCTTCTCAAACACCTGTTAAATTCACAACATATCCCTATAAATGTTTAGAATAAAGTTCTTCTGCTTACAGTGGGCCTTGTGTACTCCAGAACTGGTTGCCAGATACTAAAGGCTTTGCGTAGTCCTTCAGGAGGTTTCTGCATAGATTTAAACATCCTCAGCATCAACAAATGACAGCAGACAAGCTATGAAAGCCTGACAGTGCTGGGCTGCCTTAGAGATGGTGACATAAGTGGCATCCTGTTCAGACACCACTGAAGTCATGAATCAATGACACTGCTCAAAGAAGGAATCAGACCTTCCAACAGATCTCAGCTTGTATGAGCAACTGTACATAAGATGAAAGGGCTTATCAATTTAGAGATGCAAACAGGAAAAAAGCTTCTAATTTATCATGGTAAGTTTCAGGAATTGTAATGTGAAATTGCATAAAATTAGTTATGTGATGTCAGATTAATCCCTAGATGATCACAGGGGCAGGTTAAAATAGTATATGTATTTTTGCTGATTAAGGTAATAAAAAAGACCCAAATGTGACTTATTCCAGAGGTGAAAATCATCCAGCTTCATTACAGCATGCAACGTACATATCCATAATTGTGCAGAGACACCACATAAATAGAGCAGAATAGATACTTAAGGGTTGTCACATCCACCTCACAGAATCACAGAATGGCTGAGGTGAGAAGGGACTTGAGATCACCTTGTCCAACACTCTGCCCTAGGGTCACCCAGAGTCAAGACTCTGCTCACCTGCACTTTGAGTATCTTCTGAGAGATGAAGAGTTGACAATCACTGTGAGCTACCTATTTCACTGTTTGACCATTACCACAGTAAAAAATTATCATGTTCTGATGGAATTTCACAGGTTCTAATTTGTGCCTCTTGTCCTGTCACTGGATATTACTGAGAGGAGTCTGGCTCCCTCTTCTTCATTGCAACCCATCAGCTATTTGTACACACTGATAAAGTCCTCCAGAGCCTTCTCTTCTCCACACTGAGCACTGTTTGTTTCTCAGCCTCCCCTCACATGAAAGATGCTCCAGTCCCTTAATTCTGTTCATAGTCCTTTCCTGGACTCACTCCAGTAAGTCAATGCCTTTCTTGTACAGGGAAGCTGAGACCTAGAAACAGCACTACAGAAGTGGCCTCACCAGTCATGTGTAGAGAAACTCTTCATGCAATAGAAGTTATAAAAAAGGCAAGACATGGTTAGAGGAGTTTGCTCAAAGAAGAACTGAAAATGTTTTATTTTATTGGGAGACCTCAACACAGAGCAACCAAAAATAATTCCAGAAGTAAGTTCCTTCATTGCACTGGATGAATCTAAATTCTCTTATACCTAGAATCATTGTGGTCTATGCCAGGAATAAAATAATTCATCAGTTTCTATAAAAATCTTTGGGGAAAAAAAAATCTACATTACAATGAAGTCAATGTTTCCAAAGTCATCGTCTTGAAATTATTTAATATTAAGAAATCATATAATATCACTCCACTCCTAGTCTTCACAGAGTTTTGGGAGTAAGAATTATACACCTCTCTTTCCCTCTTCCTGTGCATGAGATAAAAAGTAGAGACGGACACAAAGATGGGGTGAATTGGTGACTCTATGGAATTCAATGCTGTTTCACCTGGTTTTGATACTGAAAGACATCGTTTCCATATAAATATACATTTGCACTCCAACCATATTTCTCAGAAATCACCATGGAGATATGCAACCGAAGTTAACATGATCATCATCTCCATAAAACAAATTCCACAAGGAGTAAAAAAGGATACAAGACATCTCCTCCACAAAAGGATCAGTCTGAATTTTTATATACTGCTTCTTTGTGAAAGATCCGGGCTAAAGTAAAGCAGATCAGGAACCATTTTTGACAAGTTTAAAATAGTCCTTCTAAAAACAAGTTATTGACCATTTATAGAAAATCTGCAGGAAAGCAAATTTAATTGCTATCATATGTCTGTCTATATAATGTGCCATCCTCTGGCACAAAAGAATTAATGCTCCTTGTCCCCTCCAAATTCTGCACTGTATGTTCCATACATCCATTTCTTTATTATGCACAGCACTAAGTCCAGAATAATTAAAATGTAGGCACTTTAGTAATACCATCTATTTAGCATAGCCATGTTTAACTCTATAAGGGTTTAACTCAATTTACCTCTTATAAGATTTGAATTCTAAAAAAATATTCTGGACATGTATCAATTAATCAGGACTCTCTGCCAGAAAATTATTCATGGCTCAAACATATATTTTCTGAAACTTTCTCCAACTTTGCACAAGCTTTATTTAAGGGGATTAGACTTTGAAGGCTTAACTATTTCTGGTTTAAAAAAAATCCACTACAAATTGCTAAAACTTAGAAAAAACGTTTTGAAAATACAAACTGAAAAGTTGTAGTCAATTAAAAACACCACTAATTCAATAACTGCGCTGCAGTTTAGCCTTCTCCATTAATTTTACTCCATCTGTATATTTAGGGATGTGATTTGTTTACTTCTTTCATTGCACAGAAACAGCTGCGTAATCAGTCACTAAACTGATTGCAAGAAGATTGAGCTGATAACCTTATTACATATCAAGTGTAGTTAATGTCTTATACATTTACTAAAATGAAATTTTTTACATATATGAATGAAAGTAAAAGACAAAAACAACTGGAGTCTGCAGTGTGTGCTAGCAATCATTGCGGGTGGGTAAACTGACAACATGTAACTGCATATTAAGACAAATGTAGAATTTAGACGAAGTATTCCATCTCTTTTCAGATGTATACTTTTAAACCTCAGGAACTGTTTTCAGTAGATGTCATGCCTTTTAACTTGAAAAAAGATAAGCGCAAATAAGCTCCCAATTGTCTCCCCAATATGTAAACCACATCTCGGGCTGCTGTCTCTGTTTCGCCTTTGAAGTTTCCCTGAAATGTCATGTGTTGTGAAGACTGCTGTGCATAAGCAAGACAATTTGCTCACTCTCAGAATTCTTACCGGTTTCCACTGCTATTTGGTATCCAGCCTCTAGTCTCCGAGATGACCTTTCCAGCCTCTCTGTGTTATCGAGCAGATGTGCCCTCTGAAAAAGAAAAGGGAAGAGAGAGGAAAAAAAAAATCAGGCAGCAGCCTACAATGTTCTCTCCCCCTTTTTAATTGTGCTTTCATATTCCAAAACATAAAAATATCCACATATATTTTATGGAACTGTCTGCTACAAGGACCACTGGAAGGGGCAGGTTCTATGATCAATCATAATTATATGTACCAATCATTTTTGTTTTGAAACGTGGAATATGTGCTTCACTCTTCTTACATGAACCCACAAATCAGAATTACGTGGGAAACCTGTCTAAAGAGCATTTCCAAAATAGATTTCTCTGTGACACACGCATGTAAGCACCCATGATTTCTATTCAACTACAGTTTGATGAAACCATCACTTTAAATGCAAGTGATAGTTTTTAATATGAACTTAATTTTCAGCAGAGGATATATTTCCTTTATGTGTACTACTCAAGTGAGGTGATAAAAACAACAAGCTATTCATACAGAATACTGAACAGCATGAATATTCTTCAGACTGTTTGATGTAAAAAGATGTAGAAACAAAACACTGGTTTCTTGATTTACATCTCTTATGCCTAAATATACGTGAATACATAAATAAGATACACAGATGCAGGTATAAAATATTTTTTCCCAGAAATCATTTGCCCATTTATTACATAACATTTATAACATAATATATTTGCTATATATAACAATAAACTGTGGCAAAAATGCATATTTCGATGCATTTTTACTTGGGAAGTCCATAATGGTGAAAAAGCAAAATTATTATTTTAATCTGTTTTTTCTCCATCCAAAACACCAACATTTCACCATGTTAGCTCATTTCCTTTGAAAATTTGATTCCTGGACTAGCTCTAATCAAGTCATCAAAAAATATAAGCCAACCCCTCTCCCTCCCAGTAATCACACACACCTTTCCAAAAACCACACTCCTTTACCCAAAAACCACATTTTGGATATTTGTCAAAAAATATTCCCTACAACTTTGCCTTGTTGACAGATGTCATTTTAAAATGGAAGAAATGCTTTCTAATAATAATAAAAAAAGGAGGTGCCATACATATTATCTGAGTGGCTGTCTACCGAAACGATCTACCTTGCTCTAATGAGCCCCTATGGATCTTGGGAGATGCAAGCTGTATTGACATGCACACTTAAGCTAATACACCTAGACCAGTGCCTCCAAGCTCTAGCAGCCAGGGATGCTGACAGAATATCTCGCTTCTATCTTCAAAGAAAGGAAGTGATTAGTATGTTATCATTACCATTCAAAACGTGATTTCCCTATTCCCTCCCGGCATAGGTGACACATCTCTGAGATGCGGCCAGACGATCGAGGCAGCTAAAGCCACATCAAAGCTTGCCTTGAATTTTTTACTTTTTTTTTTTCCCCCCCTCTCTTTTTCTTTTTTTGGAAATCATTAAAACAATGCATTTAGATCAGCATAGATAGGACCCAATGTGAAGGTCAGGAAAGCTGCAATAACAGTCTATAATAATTAATAGACTTGTCTAATACACAGTGGATAGGTTAAGAGAAAATTGCAAAAAAGGCTTTTGCATTCATGGGGGGCAGGCCACCAAGAAAAAAATAATCAGCACAAGCACTTAATAAAATTTAAAACCACAAGCTACAACGCTTTAATTGAAATCATGACAGCAAGCTGGAGTGGTACATGTTCTTAGTACTCATGGTCAATCTAGATAATTAGTGTTAATTTTGCTTAATTATTTTTAAAAAGGCATCTTTTCATCACATCTGCTGGTTCCTCTTCATTGCTCATTAGAAATAAAAAAATAGTATGGTGCCTTTCTCCAAACAGTACCCCTCCAAATAATATTGAAATAGTGTTAAGTATTTTAAACTTTGTAAAAACCCTCAGAAACCTAACATTCATATAAATGTCTCTCAAGAAAGAAAAATAGAAGGGGAAGAGGGTGGGAGGTGTGGGGCACAAAAAGAAGTAGTTTAGAGGGTAAGAATCCTAAAAGTTAGAGAGGAGATACTTGAAAAACCACCAAGGGCTGGGAGTGAGCACAAGGAGTAGAACACTGATCACAGAACAGATGTACAGGGCTGTACACGGGAAATGAAAACACCATCCCGCAATGTTAAGGGAGAGAGGGGGAAATAATCAGATTTCACATCACAAGGTGAAAGAGCTACCCAACAAAGAATTAGTATTTGACTGTATATTTTTCTATACCATTTAAGCCATATTTAAATAAAATAAATTACCATCCCAGTTCAGTCTTACTGTGAGCAATTAGAATACTAAAGCCCTGTGAACTCAGTGCTAACACTAACTCACAGCCATTTCTTAACTTGATTTCAGAGCCTTTCCACCCAAGGCATTCTATAACGAAACCTAATTTTATTATAAAGGGTGGTGTCATTTACATTGTTTGGATTTGGAGGCACCCTGTCCTTTGGACATGAAATCAATGCCCTGTAGCAGCAGCTGATGCTTTCAACTGCTTCCCACCCCTCCCCAAATTCCTTCTCCCACAGTATCCCCTGCACTCTGTGAGGAGGGTAGCGAGGTGATTCAGTCTGTCTTGCAGCTTCAGAAACAGCTTCTATCTGGAGTTATATAAGGAAGTTTTGCAAAGTGGCATGCTATCACTAGAGATTTAGTCATTCCATGTGGGCTGGATTCAAACTGAGATCTCAGGAGCTCAAAGGACAGAGCGACACAGCCTCCATGGAAGCCCGTGTACGGCAAGTGTGTGAGAATAGAGCCTTGTAATGAGAGGAAGCACAGGTTTTATTAACAAACAGTATGGCAAACCACAATTTCTTTTAAGATCACTTCATACCTCCTCAGGAGAACTATAATTGGGGATGCCTTGATGGTTCACTCTGTGACGAGTTAAGAATTATGCCCGAGTCACTGTACTAGCCTTCATTTAAACTTTAATGTGCATTTTGCATTGGGTATAAAAACACCATTGCATTTACAACCTATCCAACACAGAGTGGGTACTTACATGCAGAGAACAGAATGCCAACAATTGGGTTTTAAATTATTTTTCTCTCTACCAGCACAATTGTGTTCAAGACAAAGTAATAAACCCCCTTATTTAGTTTATTTTCTGCTGCTTTCACCATATGCAGAGAGGAAAAAAGTAACTCATGAGGCTAGCAAGGAAAAGCAAAAAAAAAAAAAAAAAGAAAAAAATTACCAGAAGCAAAGTCAATTTTTTTTAGGTGGCTAACACAGAGGACATATAAAATCCAAAAGGTATAAGTGAGTTCAGTATAGCTCCCAAGTTGCAGCCCTTTGCAATAACACCCTGAATATTCTTAATTGTCTTCATAGCTATTTCAAAAAGAAAAGCAGATAAGCAGCAGCTTTGTTCTTTACGTATAATTAAATTTTCAGAGTGAATTTAAAAATTAGGAATCTTTATAAAACTATAATCTTATATTTGCAAACAAAAATGATCCTACTACATTCTTTGCAAAAGCACAGGAGCAGACATGCAGGTGCTGTTAAAGGGATGAGAAAATGAACCTTGTTCTTCTGAAAAACCTCAGAAATCAGGCTATACAAACCCTTGCAACAATACTGTCATCTGTTTAAATACTGGGACTATTGGGGAGGGGAGCTCAGCAGTGGTGGGAAGGCTTTCATGTGGTTACATGTTTATTTTATTTAATTTTTTTTTGTTAACTCTTTTACTCTGTAGCTTTTGCATATTAATATCAGCTCCAGGAAAAGAGGGGGAAAATAAAGCATTCAGGGAACTAGTGAAGAATCTTTGTATCAGAAATACCTACCTGTTTTTAAGAATTCTCTGTAATTGTCCTTAATCTGGTTACTTTACAATTCTTTGTCATCACCATTTCTAAAACTCACAAATCCTTTCCTGCAGAGTTCAGTGTGTATTACTGATACATTACTGGGCACTCATGTGCCACAAAGAAGATACCAGGCAAATAAGTGATGTTAAAACACTTGTGCTTTTAAATATATTTATTAAAATACTTCAGTGGTCCAAGCTTTCCGTATGAAATCCTTCAGAAATCTGACCTGTAAGTAAACTTGACTTTACTCAGCCCTTCTTTTCATTGGCTACTAGGAAATAATAAAAAAATAGCAGTTCAAACACCTGCTTTGCTACAACAGTAAGCAAAAGCAGAGATTAATTTCAGAAAATATACTGAAACATTTGAGAAACTGACCATTAAAACAGGCTTCTTTCTAAATATTTATGAGTCATTTTATAACTGGAAGAAAGGTATTCTGGAATACTGATCTCTAGTGTTACACCTACAGATCTACAGCACTCACAAATAAATAATAAATATTGATATGTGTGTAGGTCTCTCTACCTCTACTGTATTTTCATTGAGTGTACAATATCCAGTACAATGCATAAGCTATTTAAATACCTCACACCCAATTCAAAACGCTGTGAAATACTGTGTAATTTTTAAAATGTTTCAGCAAAGGTTTATACCAAAGCAATGCTTTCACTTTCAACCCCAGTGTATAAATGTACTTTCCCTATCAAAGATTTTTGTGATGCAAACATGATTATTACTGTACCTGATTTGATCATGGTATTCTTGGAGAGATCAAATAATAGAGTTTTTTCCCACCCTTCTTTTTCTAGTGCCTTTTTTAAAAATTCCACTATCAAAGAATGTTAATTTCTAAGGATTGATCTAGAGATTCCTATGTAAGTATACAATTATTAGGGAAAAAGAGGCACAACAGTGAATATTTTAAAGCAATGTAATCAATATTTTTGCTTTGTGTAGATTTCCCTGCAACAATGAACAAAAAGATCTACTTCAGATTTAGAAACTCAGCTTTAAAGGGAAAGCTAGACAACAAAAAGGAAGAAAGTACTCACCTCTTCACGTAATTTTATCAACTGCAACATGAACGCACAAAAAAGATAAAAAGGAAAGAAATGGCAGGAAAGAAAGATCAGTTGTGTGACAGGATACAGAATTAACATTGACAATTTATCTGTTTACATGTTTAGCATTTAAAAATCACAGACAAACACATTAAAAGAACCTAAACATAGACTACATGCAGAGTTTTTTGAACGAATAAAGATCACTTTCTCACACTGTCACATTAAACAAAGAGAATAGTGTGAAATTCTCTTTTAAACCACATCTAAGACACCATCATGAAATAAAGGGGAATGACTTCATAGAAGTCTATATTATAAAGAAAAAAACAAGTTTACTATTCCTCTCTTCGAAGATTGTACAGCTGAAGTGGTTTTGTATATACAAGTTTTCAGAATGTTTTCTGTATATTTTAGTTGTGACAACTGATTTCTTATTTTACTAGCAGATCTAACTTATTAATAGATGACTGCATCTTTATAGCATGTATTTCAGTATTTCAATTTTTATATAACTGAGTTCTACTGTAACTATATTATTTAATTTTATTATTGAACTTCATACTGAGGGTTTCTGCTAGGTAAAAAAAAATGAAGCAGCTTAGTTAAATGTCTCAGAACTATGATTTATTGAATAGCATATTTAAAAACAGACAAAGGAATAGGGAACGACATGAAACATATTTCCCTCCGAAAAGACCCATTCCACGTTCTTGATCCAGACCACTACACAGTGTGTATATATATACACAAATAGGGTGTGTGTGTATGCTTATATACATATAAATTTATATGTATTGATTTATGCTCGTAAATCAACACAACTTAACACTAACACTATATTGCACTGGCAGCATTACTAGAAAACTAAATCAAACCCCAGCCTGATTATCAAGCTATGTTGTAATATCCTCACCCCTTAGAGAGATAGATAAATTGTTTGTACTGGAACAAAATGTATAATTACTCACAACAAATATCTGCACAAGAACGGCCCTTTATAAAAAAAAAAAATTACAGTTCTCTCACGGATTCCAGTTCGAAATTACAACACTACACAATTACCTCAGTTTATGCTGATACTTCACCTACAGTTTCATAACACTAATTTTCAACACATGTGTAAGCTGAGAATGTTTACTACTAATAAAGTCTCACCAGCATGAAGGAAACAAAAGAACCTCCATTATTCTCTATTGTCTCATATGGCTTGTCTAAAACGGAAGGTTTGCCTCACCCCGTTACCAAAAGGGACAAGAACTCTAATGAGATGTAATTAGGGGGGCTCCTACACCACCCCGACTTGAACTGGGCCAGCATTTCTGCACCCAGCTAAAGGAACTTTGCTACAATTTGGTATAAAGAAAACGGCACTGCTGGGCAAGCCAGCGCTTAAATTCAAGTGCTTGGCCTATCATAAATTGGTCTTTCTCCAGCTCTTCCCCCCCTTTTTCCCCCAAAAAGGCAAACATTAAGGCTCTTTAGAAAGAGACGATCTGGGAGTTGATCACATAGCTATCTTTTCTTTCTGAGGCCACCATTCTTCAGTTGACTATGATACTTAAAGGGCCAAAGTTTAAAACGACTCTCCCGCAATAGAGCCCGTCCGGGCATGCCACCCTGCTATAATCAATGAGAGTTTTAAAATGCTGCACATTTGCTTTTTCAATAGGTCCCAAACAAAAATGTTCTATCTTGTTTGTGCTGCATGGCTGAATTTAAGCTCTGCATGGGATTTGCAGCTAAGCTAAGTAATGGGAGAGGGTTGGGTTTTTTTTAACATTGGCTGAAAGATATTCATTCAAATTAACAAAAGATGTATTTTTCCCCCATTTAACAATGCTCTTGATGAAAATGTGCAACCCTTACATTTCTGTTTTGAAACATTATTTTTATTATGCTCACTCCTGAACTGTAAACAGCGTTAAGCCATGCACAGCCACCATTTTAGGTTATGATAATGAGAGTATTTTTGAAACAAAGGGGTTTTTTTTTTTTTTTTTTTTTTTTTTGCAATACAGAATTTGATACAAGAGGTAATCTGTTCCTTTGTAGCCTAAAAAAAAAAAAAAATCTGGTTTACGCTGGTTTGAACCAGTGGAATCTCTTGTGGCTAAGCCTTCTGCTGTGACTAAAATCAAAACTGCACCACAGAGAGCGAGGGAGCGAGATGGGATGTGAGTGTGTGTGTGTGCACGCACGCGTGTGGCCGCGAGGCTCGTCACGTGACACAGAACTACCGAATTTTTTTAAAAAGCTGATAACGCCACCGCCGTCTCTGTCCGCATATAGATAACGAATAAATGCTGAACTCTATTAAACGCCCTTTACACATTATCGTGGGTCGAACACACAATTTTCTGAACTTATGATGACAGTCTATTTATTTTGCTATAAACCCTCGGCATGTAACGAACAGATTTGTGTCTGGTAATGATCTGCTCTGCCAGGGCTATATGAAATGATACCGACCTTCTTTAGATCTTGGCGAATTAAATTGACCAACTTCACCCCCTGGTCTGTAGCTGAAGTTTGACACACTTTATGCACAGCAAGCCCAAATCTAATATTATCACAACTTTGTAGTCAGAAATTAAGTAGACACAAAATATTTGTTCACCATGAATCACGTATAGAATGTACGGGTATATGGATACACAGTTTACCCCAATGTGAATTTATTTAAACTTACTAATGAACATAGCTGCAAAAGAGAAAGGGACATTGTTGCACCTCAAAAATGTTGCACCTCAAAAAAGTTGATAATATTGAACTTCACATAACTTCCGTTGAGAGAAATTTCTGATTTAACCCAACATATACTTCATCAAAAACATATGACTTGCTACATAAAACAGTTCTACTATTATTGAAGAGAAGCTACAAATTTAGCTAGGGTATCACTGCACCAAAAAACTCAAAACTTTCAAGGGATTTGCTAAATGGTGGCCAAGATGACAAACAAGACTTGAAAGCAACAGTCAGTTTAAGACCACTCTTGGAAAACAAATAATAACCCAATGCACACAGTGGTTTTTTGGGATTGGGTTTATAAGGTGGGACTTCCTTTTTTTGATGCAAGAAGGGACATTTCTTGATTTTCAGCCTCTGAGTGCCTCATCTGACTACATTCACATCGTTCAAATTAAGAAGAAATGAACATATGTTAAGCAACGCCTTCACTGAACTCTAGGATCATTAAGAGCACTCTGTATCACTACCTGTCTCATGAAAACAAGCTGCACTTATTTCTAAAGAAACTCTCAATAGCAGAATTATATAATTCTTACAACTTCTTACAGGAAATGTCTACATGCTCTATCTGGTAAAAGCAGTTAAATCTTGGTATAATCATTAGAAGGGAATTGTATTGCAAGTTATTGTGAGGGTCATCTAGACACAATGGCTGCTACTTTTGGGAGACATGTTGGGAAAAAGAAGACAAAAGACAAATCACCATTACCTATTCTTCAATTTATTCTTTGTACTTCAGTTTTTCTTCCTGAGAAAGCAACTGGAAACTTATACCTACCATTCTATTCATTACAGGTTATAACTTGGCTATGGTTTGCTATAATCATAACTTTGAAACACAACTAAAAAAAGAGAAAGTGAATGACGAAAAGATCCAGATAATTTAGTTTTCCAATAGTGATCTGTTTTATTTGTAACTTTTTAATATGGTCACATTAGCCAGCAACCATTAAGTTCCTTTTGTCTTCTCTCTCCACCTACAACATCTTGCAAATGTTTATCACAATGACAAAGACAAAAACTCATATCTCTTGTCTGCCTCTGGGTAACAACCCCGACTACCCAGTATTCAATATTTCTATTGGCAGATTTTACCAATTTTTGTGCTCTGGTACAGGAGCTGCCAAGTTTTTTTCAACACTTCCTCTGTCAGGAAAGGAATCCTTTCTCTCCCCTTTCACAGCTGGTGACTGAATTGGGGAAAACAAACCCACAATATTTCAGTTAAATTAATTTAACCTAATCCAAACTGACTGAGAAGTAAAAATCCTATCATATTAGGGTGAGGATCAGTCCATGTACCCATATTTATTTCCATGAGACAAAACAAAAGCAAGCATTTGAAACATCTTCAAATATTTTACATGGCTTTAAGTTATACCTGAGCATCCTTTCATCATTTACTCCAAGTTTTCTACTGACATATTAATGTATAGGAGTGAAAGCATGTTAAACGTGGGGTCACGGAGTTAAACATGACAATGTCTCATGTTCAGTGTCTGGTAAGGACCAAACGTACACCTGATTTTGAAAGCTGCACATTCTAATAAGCTCAGTACCAGCTAAGTACTTGCACTAACTGTTTGCACCCATATCTACATGTATATAAGTAAAAGTATAAATAAAGATATTTAATAAGAAAAAGAGAATGTGATATTTATTATTGAAACAACACAATAAATAATCTATTTTAAAAATCCTGGCATTCACATATTTTAAAGGAATTAGATTACTCCTTTATGGTGCTATTTCATTATATTTTTCAAGAAAGGAATGAAGAACTTTAAAATGTACAGAGGAAATAATTTCAAGTTGGGCTATAGAAAAGGATTTTGATTACCTAAAAGCCTATACAAGAGTCCTTCAGCAGACAAATTTTTCTTCCATTTAAATAGTGGTCATTTGGAAGAAAAAGCCTGAAGCTCACAAATGGCTGAAGGTATCATTTAGCTCCTCGAGATGAGAACATGTCTCTTTCACCAAGTTTGGAAAAAAGATCATCAGTCACAGCAAGTGCTCACATGAACCAGTTATTTAAACATTCTTTAAAAAGTGAAAATAAAACATTTTATCTTATCCCTACACATAAGATATTCTGTTATAAGTAAAGCTTCTTATCACAATTGCCCTTTTATGTCTGAATTCACACATTTTTTTTTCTTGAAATGTAAAAGTAGCAGCACCTTAAGAGAAATAAAATGAGAACCTTAACAGTTTCACAGGACTTCATTTACAGTCATGACATACAGACTATGAAACTCTTCTCCCAAAAATAATGTTCTTCATTAATTGATTCTTTAGGTATAAAATCTCCTCTTTGTTTTACTCAAACTTTGGAATCTCCTCTTTCTATCATATATTTAAGTCTTCACATAGATATCAGAGCTGCTATACTCCAGTCTTATGTCTTCAGATAATATATCCTGTGTCTAATTTCATTCATGTATGAATTAAAGTCTATTACAGAGTTTAAAACTTACTGATCATGTTTAAAATACTCTATAAAACTGGGGTTATGGGGTCTGTGTTTTGAAAGCCCTTGTACAAGGTAAGTCTCCAAGTCTTTATTCTTTCTGAGCTGAGCCTGCACTAAGTGCAGAAGATACAAAAAAATTTCAGAACACCGTTCTGATTCATTTTCTTATTTAATAGCACATTTATCAAGTAAATATTTAAACTATATTTCTTTTGTTAGCAAAATAACTTTGATTCTGGTTGGAAGAGAAAATATGACCAGCAGGAAAACTTTCAGCTAACTTCTAGCTCAAAAATACAAGACTTTGATAACACAAATTTTAGAAAGAAAAGAAATATTCTCCTTTCAGTCAGAGTATCAAAAAAGTTTCATCCCAAAAAGAAATATTAACAGGTGGGTCAAAGTCTCCTGAATAAAGCATTGCCGTCACAGTTTTCGGTAGTCTCTCAGGATCCTCACTGTAGCATGCAGAACAACAATACGGGTACAAGATTTTAAAAAAGCCTCAGGATTATCAAGCTTTCATTCATTAAAAGAGGTGGATAGCACTCTGCATCCTAGTACAACATGCATTATGAAAGCACACTCTTATTAGTACAACTTGTGTTTTTGGTACAAGGAGAGAAAATCTGGTAAAGAAGGAATCACACAAGGAAACTGAGTGGGATACTGCCTAATTCTGAGAGCGCACTTTCATTTGTTTTGCCTGCCAGTGTTGATTTAATTATACTGCATTATTATCAAAGCTGCATTATGTACTTTTTTATTCCTTTTACATGTGTTTGAGGTGAAGACCTTGGCTTTGTCGGCAAACAGCGTGTTTCAAGTTATTTCTTAAGTACTAAATAATAAAGAAAAGAGAAGAAAAGATTTTTTTTGAGATAGCAGACAGTGATCACAAGTTAAAGGGTTAAATGTAAGATCTCCAAGAAACATTTTGAAGTTGATTAAGACCCCAGCTTTGCATTAAACAGTATCACTTCCACATGAGTTGTTGCTAATGCTGTTAAGGAGCAGCTTGAGAAGCCCAGTGTGCCAGTGACCTCCTTCACCCTCCAGCCACCCACTAGGGCTTCTTGATTAGCATCCTACCTGGTTCTCTGAGGAATTCCCGTCATCCCCTAGGAGTTCATTCCGCACCTCATCACTGTAGGCGATTCGTGACCTTTTCTGTAAAACAAAAAGAAAAAAGGGTTAGGAAGTAAAGCTCCGAAGCCATTGGTATCAAGGCTGATCATCTTAAACCTCGAGAGCCCCCTAATGGATACCCATTCGATTAAAAAAATCTGCAAGTGAAAGTTATTACAAAGTTCTTCAACTGCTGTACCTTAACAAATCTGCATGGCAAAACTATAGTATTTCTAAGACAGTCACACCCTCAACATTGCAGCAATGAAGGCAGCTTCTGTGAAACTCGAGATATGTAACATGTGAGGCAACATATACTAACAGCAGAAGTATTGAAAAAATGCCAGTGCAGGAACCAAATGCATTTTTCTGAAGAGCACTTGCTAGCAGGTCAAAGAATGCAACATAACAGCGATGGCAGCAATGCCACTAGACAGGAAAGGAAGACTGAGCTTTTCCCATCTAAATAAAACCAAAAACCAAAGCTGAACAAAACACATGTGATGTACCTGAGTCAATTTAAAGATGTGGAAAATTAACAAGCATTTTCTATGCTGCTAAAGCTGCTGGGAAAGGATCAGAAATTAAAGGGTGAAAGAAACGAGAGAAAATAATACCACAAGGAAACAGTGATCTTCAGCAGTTCATGGAAACACCAAAAACTGACACAGTCATCCATGGGATTGTTATGACAGACAGGATATTAAGTAAATTCACAGCTTATGAGCGCCAGATTTGCTCTTGAACTGATAATTATGTTGACTCTAAACTAGATCAAGTGCCAAGCACTGCAATGTAAATGTGTGATGATTAGCAAGGTAGCACAGGATTCCACGGAACAATAGGGAAGCCCACAATGACAACACCAGCTTTCAATTTCTCTGTTAGCCAATAACAGGCTATTACTCAGTTAATACTCCCACACTTACCATTAAAGGAGGGATTGAATTTTGAACATATTGTCTAATTTATTTTCCTTTTCAGAGTAGTTATGGTAATTTTTACACGTCAGAGGAAGAAACCTAAGAGTAACAAAAACTAAGCTGTAGGGCCTTCCTTTATTGATGGGGTCTTCCCTCACACCCTGCCATGATAGTGACTAGCACTAGGAACTCAAAAATGAATCCCTCTTCAAGTCTTCCGTGCTTGGGCCATCATGCCAAAACTTGCACTTGGGACTGAAGCACAGGAAAAGAATGCTAGAAATTATACTGAGCACAGGGAAATTCATCACCTTAGTAACAAAGAGGTTGTAAGTGGGTCACCCTTTGTGCAAGGGACCTATCAGCAAAATAAGCTTTGTATGGGTCAACTCAGAGCAAACCATTTTAGCTCTTTATGCTGTGTAGCTCCCCTTTATTACCAACATGATTGTTGCAATGTTTACACATTTGTGATTCATTTGCCATCAGATCCTAAAGCTACATGTAAGAAGGAAGGACAAAGCCTTGGACCACAGACCCACGGCAAGAGGTGAATTGTGCCAAATCTTTTGGAAATCTCAGCTGTCACAGTTTCATACTAACCAAGCTAAAGTAGTCTACAGCATTAAAGGAAATGAGCACCTTTAAACAGGCTGTGGTATCAGAGCTGCCTGTTTAAATTATTCATTTCATCACTATGGGGGACTAAAACACTCCACAGTATGCAAGAATATCATATGGAGATAGGTTTTGTTTTTCTCTTTTCTCACCAAAAAGGCAACAAATTGGCATAGATTGCTCAATTACATTATTTTCCTATTTTCATTTGATACACATCAAACAAGGAAGCAAATTACAAATATATACCAATAAATATCTAATAATCTTTTCTGATTAAGATTCAATCTTAGGACCTCATTTGAGGTCTAGTGGTTCAACTGTACAGTTTCTCCCAATTTCACAAAATGACTCAGCCCCATTGATCCTGTTAGTGTTGAATGTATTTATCATTATTAGACTGAGATACAGAGCATGATGCTTCATGAGCTTGTTCTCTAGTGAACAAGCTTCCTAATAACATGTAGGGACTGAAATGGTCCTTGATTACACATCATTTATTTGAAAGATACAACTGGATGATATTCTCTTTCTTAAGAGCCTGCATGGGAGAAAGGAAAAAGAATACTTTACGGGAAAGAAACAAATGTTAATAGCAGTACTATTTTTAGAGGTCCTTTATAATCCTTTATTACCATTGCCAGTGAACTCAATAAATATATTTGTATCATGGTTCTTTTATTGTAATAATCTGTCATGATCTGAAAATCAGAAATTTTATTAAAAGAAATAATGCTTTGGCTAAAATTAGGTAGAACTCTTTGCCATAATCAATAAATAATTTGATACTACTTTTGATCACAGTTTCACTACCAAATGAATCAATAATATAAAAGGAAAGGTCTTTGAACTAAAGTGTTCATTTATTCTTTCAGGATTTGTCCAAAATATCAATATCTTGAAATACCATTCTTATTTTTATGAAAGTATTATTGCTTAACATTTTTAAATTCGGCTATCATGATTAGTTCAGCTTGTCTGAACTCAATAATTACTATTTTTATTATTATTTTTTATTTCATAACCATCAGATGTTTATAAACATATACTTTAGCCAAATGCAAGAATGATAGTTTGAGCTGGAAATGTCACACACACTGCTACATTTTGAAGGAACCCAATTCATAATGCATTTTATAAATAGTTAATGACTTCTATACATAAGCTAACCAGGCAAATCAAGAAATTGTCAACATTTTTAGTCTTAGTTGTCAGTTACCACTGTCTACTGGTACTTTATATGTATGTTTCTAGAAAAGACAGAAGCCTTACAGAGTTTGTAATCCAAGGCATTTCTGGGCAGCTCAATATAGGTTTAAGAGGTTCTATGTGCAGTTTTTTGTCTGCAAAGCTCTGTCACATATAGAAGTTTTCCTCGCATTTTATATTTTCTTGTATATACCTAGACAAAAAGTCTAAGCCTGCAAGTGGTTTTGCTCAGTGAATGTGTTTGCAGTTGAGCATAGCATGTGCCCAAACACAGAGACACAAAAGGGTTAAGCTGCTTTCTACAAGAACTTCAGCACTCAGAAAGTTTCAGGGGCTGTTTTAAATGTACTACAGTACCCAGACCTGGCAAGGAAGAATTTCTGATTCCAGGCAGATCTCTCTTGGTTTATGAACAGGATTTTTGCATACTGATTGGGTGATTTCCTTAAAGCCCTGTTCAAACAGATACACTTGCTCAGTTCTGTCTGGCAATTTGGCTTTAAACAATCTGTCTACTTGACCCAAGCCTTAACATTTCCCAATAGAACTCAATGTGTTCATAGGCAAGCCCAGCGAAATTAGAATTGAAATGAATTAACTCAGCTTAAACTAATTAAGATCTGTGATCTGCAGTACCACCCCCCTGTATGATTCTACATGTGAAGCAGGGTACACGTAACCAGACTGTAAGAATTCTGCTGTACCACTAATCTGAGCATACCAATGAAGTTCTTCTATTACTAAAGCATATGAGAAGTTAATTTCCATGGCCTACACATGGCAAAGCAATTGCTTAAATTGCCTCACCTGGGAATTTAATACAATGTTATCATCAGACCAGCCACACTGTAAATAGATTTATAATGCTTTCCATGTGCTAGGCTAGGTTGCATATGAATTAAGTAATGATCTGGTATTACAATACAATCAGCTAGTTCCCACACCTGGCAGACAGGATATTTTGCTAAATTACTACCTATACAGATACATCACAACATAAAAACAGAGAAGGTAATGGGAAGAGAAACAATCTACATGGTGTATGACCGAATTTTGCACGGTAACCAAATAAGATGTAGATAGAAAGAGGTATCCAAAATAATCTATTTCCAACATCTGCACAACAGAACACATACTTATTCATTTCTATTCAATTTTGGCCTAATTTTCTGCATTCTATACTTTAATTACCATCCACATTCTGAAATGTTCCCATTAGTGAAGGCCAGAACTAGCCAGTGCCCCCTCACTCCAACGTACTTCCAGCAATCAGCCAAATAATTGAAATAAAGTATTGTACCTTTTCATACATGAACGAAGATTAGTTTCCCCCTCCTAAATGCCAAGCAGCCCCCAAACACATGAGCAAATGTAGGTGCATTTCAGACAAAAGACTCAACAGATCCTTTTATCCCAGCCTTTCAGTTTTTTCAGGCTCAATGTTTTAAGAACAGATTAGACAGATTTTTCTGGTGGAATATGTGTAAACAACAAAAAGGCTTATTTATCCACAAACATCTGTTTTCATACAAAATCTATTAGAATTTCCAAGTACATATAAATGTTTTTAAAAATCTCCAGGCACCTGTTTCAGTTTGGCCCTGCTCTAAATGTAAATAAATACTTGAGATTAACATAACCAGAAATAATTTGTGGGAATATATCAGATTTTATTTTGTGTTCCTTGACAGTAGTCACTTCTGTCATTTGCTAAAAACAAAGTGAAAAAAGTGATCTGATCCCCAAATGGACAGCTAAATATTGCAGAATGTACTCCTTCAACTCTGCCTTTTGGAATAGGTATTTAAGTATTTTTTGCTGAGCACAAATGGAAAAGATACAGTTGAACAAATTTAGAGGAAGAGTGGCCCTATTTAACAATCTTAAAGCTTATATTGAAACAGAAACCCAAACTGACTTCTTAGTAATCAAGAGATATTGTAACTTCCGTTCAATTTGAAAAATTGTGTTCAAACTATGGTTTTCAAAACTTACACTTAATTTTCATTTTCAAAACTATATTTATCTGTAAAGGGGATCAAGGAACAACAGACTAGATGCTTCAGACTGCAATTCCAAAGGGGTTTCCTGCTCCTGAGCAGCTGAGTTTTCAGCAATTGCGCGCACGAAGCAGGAAAATTGTGCTAATATACAACCTGATGCAATGCAGGACTTCCAAGTATTTCCTTAAGCAAACTGAGGAAAAAACCCAAATGAATACATTCCTGTCCAAAAGTAAATAAAAACTATTCCACAAATCCACTGAAACTTCTGATTGAAAGAATCAATGTA